AATAATATATATATATATATATATATATATATATATAATATATTTATTTATTATATATTATTATTATATATATATATATATATATATATATTAAATATATGTATAAATATGTATAAATAATATACACGTAATATATAATATATATATATTCATTATTAAATATTATAGATCTCGTGTATATTGAATACACATTATTTTGTGTTCGTGCAAGTATGTGTGTCTGTATAAACGTGTGGGTGTATGCAGGGTGAGGGAGATACAGCTTTAATGATCGTTTAGAAAAATTGCCATCCCTCCCCCCCCCTTTATCACATTTAAAATACGAGGGCATTGATCTAACTTTATACGGTGCTCCAGATAATGAATATCGGCAAGAACATCTAAATGCGTCCACTACATTCGTATTCTCATAAATAACTTCTTCTGGATATGACATGGGAACAATTATTAAAGAAGGCATACAGAAGATATATATATATTTTGGATTCGTTCTATTTAAATTTTTAATCAGAGAGCAGGATGCGCCATATTCGTACACGTGCGAGTAAATATAAATACGAATTATCGGATTGTAAATCTCAAATAAAGTTTGAAGTTATTTTTTGTTGTACAGAAATTAAAAAGTAAAAAATGATCGTACATAATTATCAATCATCGATCTGCAAATATGCAAAATAAGTTAAAATAATTTTCAAAACGTGGTGATATCTATTATTTTAGGATCAAGGCCAAATAAACGCATCTTCTATAAAGAGTATGATTTGTTCGTAAAACTTACCTTCACTTCGACGATTGCATATCGCAATCGTGTAAGCCTTCATCGGTAATCGAAATATATAATATAAAAATATATAATATAAATATATAATATAAAAATATATAAATATATAATATAAAAATAAGAGAGACAGACATGTATGACAAAAGTAATTGGAACAAGTCAAATTGGAAAAAACAGAAAATTTGCAAGGATTATACAAATTTTCAATGTATAGATAAAAAATTATCCAATTCTGTATTTAACTAAATAAAAATTGTTGAATATAAAATCATACAAATCCAATCCTGTGGCACCTAATGCAAGGATTTACTATCATTTTAAAGATAATTATATTTTATTTAAAAATTATGGTAGTAAGAAAAATAATATCATCAAATAAAATATGACATGCACAACATATATTATGAAATAATATATTTTATATATCCTTACATCCTTCAAAGAAAAATGTTTTAATATTGAATCGAGCATAGAGCATTTATTTAAAAAAGCAATAATAGTATTACAAAAATAAGGTTCCCGAGGTTCCTTAATAAAGTTATTATCATTGCAGATTTAAATCGAAAGCGCGCACCATAGCATCACAAAGGGAGATTAACAAAAGTACGATAAAGGGCAGTCGTCTATCAAGGACATCGGTAGGTTTTAAATCGCATGTCACGTGTCTCCCGTGAAGGACCATCGAGGGAACAGACTGGCATTATATCACGCACGAGTAGCTGCATCCCAGGTTTTTTTTTTCTTTCTTTTTTTTTTTGACGACACCTCTCTGATGTGAAAGCGATAGCATCTGGGATCACACTCGATTAGAATAATATGATGTCCGATGAAAGTAATCGAGTACCCCATGCGATGGCGCGCGGTCGTCGGTTATCGCACAATAACCGACTAATGGGTCAAACGTGCGAAAGTAAACGCAATCGGGTTAGCGAGGGTTGTTTGCTCAGTACGGTAATAGGCTTACCGTATGTACAAGCAAAAAGGATGCGTTCGCATGCATTTCCGTGCAACGATGCCGATTTTATTTCGTCGTTCCGAACGTCGTGTCGTGCGAGCGTCGTCTATCGTCTCCTTTATCAAGCGAGTGACGACCGCGAGAGGCATGAACTCATGTCAAGTGAACAATATGACACCGCCTAATGCCTATGTGCTATACAGCATTTGATCGACCGAAATTAGTCCGCGGCGTTGTAACGTTTTGCAGAGATTTAATTTAACCCCCCTCTCCCCCCTCCCCCCTCACCCCCCGGCGGGCGACGCGTTTCTCCGCACGCATAACTGCCTTTTAATTGGCACGACGGGGAACACGAGATGGGAGACACGATTCTAACACGCATCGTAATTCGCTCTCTTTTCCATATGATGATTATAACAATTTAATAATTTAAGAAATTTGCGTATATATAACATTCTAATACACGACTATAA